TTTTTTGGGACATCTAGCTATGATGCTGGTATTGTTAACCCTCGCATGTGTGCGGCGTTTGCCAGCTTCTAATGTGTAGGGGGGGGGGGGTCGGTTGGACCCCCCCTTGCCGTTTGGCCCCTGATCGAGCTAGAGCTTCGCGGAAAAAACGAGCGTGTTGCCCGTGACGAGAGGAAGCCGATGATACCCAATTTTAAGGTCCTAGGTCATTGGTTGACCTTCCAGGTCAGGTCAATGACCCAAAGTCGGGAAAATCGGGACCTATTACAAAGTCGTAAAGTGTGGCGGCTGAGGGGTTTTTCGGGGTGCTGATCACGAATATCGTGTTAGTTTTGATCACAGATGATGTCTTTAAGCATTTAGACCAGGTCAGGTCAGGTCAGGTCAGGTCAACCAGTAGGGGTTGTGACGGGTATTCGTAGTACGTGTCAACCGCCTCTGACAGCTTCGTAACATGTTACGAAGGCACCAAAACTACTTCGTAAATGTTCAAATGGTTGCTAAATTCGAATTCAGCTCCAAAAACTAGCCTAGAAACATGTAAAACTCGAAAAAGTGAACCGAGGTCACCCGAGGTCACCAAAGGTCAATGACCTGACCTGACCTTCAGGTGACCTTGACACCCATTCTAATGCATGGGAGCAACATCAAATCACATGTTTGAACGTTTGAAACCACGAAAAGCTTGCAAACGCGCGGCTAATGCGAGCCGACATACGCGGAATCGCGATTCCGGCCAAACATGGTCTCGGAAAAGAGGTCACAGGTCAAAGGTCATTTGGGTCAGGGTCATGAAATTTTCAGGGTAGGTGTAAAATTGATCAATGAGAGGGTACTGAAAGTTTCGTCGCGATCGGCCGCTTTTTACGCGAGTTATTCGCGAAAAACCATGGGGGGGGGGTCCATCCGACCCCCTACACATGCGGGGGTTAACCATCATGCTGCGAGTGAGTTTGCTGCCGTGTTCTAATCGGACGTGTTTTTCGGGGGCACCATTTTAATGAAGGTGCATAGTGATGCGTCGTGACAAGGTCGTAGTGGTGTGGCCAATATATGAGTTGTTTGGTCGGCGCGCGCAGTCGCCAATGGGGTATCGAAACTCATAAATGACGTTGGTCGCCTTGAGATCACTGTTGTCGCGTGATGCGTTGTTGACCATGACTAATCTTGATGTGCTAGGTGTTTGGTAGTAGACGATAAGTTTGATACTGGTATAAGGCGCGACCGGAACACAGTTACGATGCATGATGTTTCGGATGACCTTCTCGTCCTCCTTGTACGCAGATGACATGTGCCCTTTGAAGAAGAGTTTTACTGGTTGGGTGTCACTGTTTGGTGTGAGTGCGGGACGAGAGAGGTGTCTGTGTAGTTGACGTCTGATGTGAATGTCGATGTCGGTAACAGTGTACTTGTTGTTGACTAGAATCTGTTTGATTCGCTGAAGTTCCTGGTGTAAAAGAGGCCATGACGAGCAGTGTTTGATTGCGCGGTTGATGTATGACCTAATGACGCTGTCCTTATATTTGTCGGGACATTCGCTATCGCCGTTCAGGCAGTGACCAGTATCGGTGGGTTTCCTATGTACTGTCGTGGTAAATGGGCCGTGGGTAGCGTCTATTTCTACATCAAGGAACGGTAACTTATGGTCGATGGACGACTCTACCGTGAATCGAAGAACAGAGTGTTCCTCGAGAGCAGTTTTGACAGCGAGCAGTTGTTCATCACTTTGGACATCCACGAAGATATCGTCTATGTATCTGCAGTACGTGTACGGTTTCACATCTAGGCTATCAAGTGCAATTGACTCCACGTGCGCCATGTACGATTCAGCGAAAAGAACCCCTAGTGGCGAGCCCATCGCGACCCCATCAATTTGACGGTACATGTTTCCCTGTGGGCAGCGGAAAGCCGTTTCCATGGTTCCGACATTTTTATGTTATTCGAGCTTAATCAGGAGCTTACCTGATTATATAAAAAACCAACAAATAGATAAAACACTTGGGCCGATAATGCCACATAGAATGTGCGTGGTGTTAAACAATGAAAAATTTTCACGTCAAGCGTACGAAGCAAATGTAAAACATAAGCAGTTAGAAATACGGAATGCTAATGAACGCCAAAAAGCAAAGTGGATCAGAGATATTGGGGGTTTTGAGGAAAATAGCCTTGCAATCTTAAAAAAGGTCACAAAGTCAGCAAAACTGATAATGTTTCAATATAAACTCATAAATCGCATAGTAGCAACGAATACCTATACACATTAAAGACGAAGATACTTGCACGTTCTGTAAAGTAGAACCGGAAACGCTGGTTCATATGTTCTGGCATTGTAATAAAGTAAAGTCCTTTATAGCAGATATCAAACTCAGAATTTTAGATCCGTACGAAATACGCCTCCCTATAAACAGCAAAACTTGGTTCTTCCTAATCGATGCAAATCCACAACAGACACATATATTGGCTTTAGCAAAATTGTTCATATATGAAGCAAGGTTACGAAATATCACACCAGAGGTGACACACCTAATAAACAAACTGAAAATTGTTGTAGAAATAGAACAACAAGCAGCCAATCGCATAAACAAACAAATAGAATTCGAGAAAAAGTGGGGAAGACTAAAAAGCATCGTCGTACAAAACGATGCACATTAATTGGCGTATATTTATTTTTACACAAATCTTTGTACGTCAATCCATACTCGTAACACAGTTGCACACTTGCAGCACTCTTGCCTGCAAATGCATGCATTTGCATGCATTTGTGGGCATGTAAATTGTATCTTCATGCAATTTGCATCTCATGTGGGATCAGTTTGCATCATTGCATGATGTGGGCTGATCTGCATGAGGAATAGAAATACGTAAAAACACTTAAAAATACATACATAAAATACATACAATAAATACATAGTATACATAAATATACACATCATATTTATAAAACAAACATGCCACAAACACCTGGATGATCCCCAAGGTCACGAGCTCGCCGGTCGCGGGAAGGGACTAGCGGCTGTTTTGTCTTGCATGTGATGTGTGAAAGGAGCAAAACAAAGTAGAAAATAGTAGAGATTCCAGTCACGCCGCCGCCGGCGCGTCTTCCGCCGGCGTCGCCCGCTGCATCGCCGGTGTCATTGATGGTTGATAGTCATTGTTCAGTATTGTAAGACATGTTTATAAAGTCTGATGGCCAAGAGTTGCGAACGAAAATTATAATTAAAATCTAAATCTTTTTGTATTTCAAAAAAAAGATTTTTTTTTGTAAAAAAAAAGATTTAGATTTTAATTATAATTTTCGTTCGCAACTCTTGGCCATCAGACTTGATAGTCATTGATAGCTGTTAAAAGTTGATATAAAAACTGTTCTGTATTGATAAATGTAAACCTCTGGGCTTTGTTAAATAATTTGTATTTTTCGCAGTGTTGTTATCCTTATCTTGTGTTGAACGTTTCACCCGGACCTTGCCTCGCTGTTTTGCTCACTCTGACTTGTTTGGTTGCCTGTTCGCTGCTGGAGCAGTGCCGCAAAGACCGGTCCCACGGTGGTGTCATGTGTGCCTTGACCTGTGTAGTGCAACCATTGCAGCGGTGCAGTGATAGTGGGACGCGTGTGTGCTGTTGGGGGGAGTTGTCGTTGCGCGTCGTGCCAGCTGAGGCAGCTGATGCAGCGACTGATGAGCCACTGGTGGCGCATCATTGGAGTGGATGATGTCGGATGACTGTGAATGTGATGAGGTGAACTGAGTGTAATAAATGTATATTATCGAAAAAAAACAGATTCTAGTCAACAACAAGTACACTGTTACCGACATCGACATTCACATCAGACGTCAACTACACAGACACCTCTCTCGTCCCGCACTCACACCAAACAGTGACACCCAAACAGTAAAACTCTTCTTCAAAGGGCACATGTCATCTGCGTACAAGAAGGACGAGAAGGTCATCCGAAACATCATACATCGTAACTGTGTTCCGGTCGCGCCTTATACCAGTATCAAACTTATCGTCTACTACCAAACACCTAGCACATCAAGATTAGTCATGGTCAACAACGCATCACGCGACAACAGTGATCTCAAGGCGACCAACGTCATTTATGAGTTTCGATGCCCCATTGGCGACTGCGCGCGCCGACCAAACAACTCATATATTGGCCACACCACTACGACCTTGTCACGACGCATCACTATGCACCTTCAAAATGGTGCCCCCGAAAAACACGTCCGATTAGAACACGGCAGCAAACTCACTCGCAGCATGATGGTTAACAATACCAGCATCATAGCTAGATGTCCCAAAAAACATAAGCTTGCGATTCTTGAAGCTGTCTTCATCAGGGATAGAGACCCAGCTATCAACCGGCAAATGAACATGACGGGTACTCTGTCCTTATACGATGAAAGACCCTTGGCGCCCAGATAGATAGCACTTAGGTTTTAGACTTGTGTGCTAGTTGATTATGTGTAGGCCGAATGCATGCGAAACTGTCATTGAAACATGTGTGGCTTGTCTGATGATTGTAACTGAATGTAACTGAACCGATGATTGTAACCGAATGATGTAACTGAATGTTTGTGTTATACGAAATGTGTGTCGGTGTATAATGAATATGTACGTAGAGTGTCCGTATATTTGCGCTGAAAATGTAATCGCGAGAGGTGCCATTGCAATGATCATGTGCGTTTGTACTTTAAAGTGCTACATCAAATTGAATTAGATCCGTGTCAATAGGAAACTCATTCCTTGCGATTTTCGAGACGAGACGAATGTTATATTTGGTATTATCCCATGGCGAAAGGATGTGTTACACATTTGTTCACGTGTTATCTTGAAAAGTTTATCACTCGATGGATAACTGAGTTGTTAAACATGCGGGAGGGGTTTAACAAATTGTTAAACCCCTTGTTGTGACGTCACATTTCATACAGGGATGGGTATTGAAATTAAATGTGTTAATTCATTTGAATAACCAAAACAAACATCGGTGATCCATCATATATGACGATATGTATTTCAATCACATCGCATCACATTCAAAACATTCGAGTTGCAGGCTGAACAAGCATAACGTTTTAATGGTGACAGTTTTCAAAATCACTATTCAAATCACTCCACTCCTTGTTGTCTAGCGCCCTCGTAACTTATCAGTTACGACTGTACACATAGAATGTACAGCCATTGAAGTTCCCACTGAATCCGCTCGCACCAGTCGACATGCTCTGCGCGTGAACATCTTGCCCCCCATCCGCGCGAGACACAACTTCTGTCCTCTTGACTGGCCCAGCAGGATGGCTCTCTCCTGCGACCACAGCCGACATTCTCTTCTGCATTTTTTCATCGGCTTCGGCGTAGCTCGATAGAGAACTAACACTCTTATGTCCCGTAAGCTGCGCAATGAAGGTCTTGCGGCCGCTGTGGTTGGTAAACCTGTTTCCTTCTAAGCCCGCGTCAATCGCTGTCTCTTTCATCATCTTGCTGAGGCTGCCGTTGCCGAGCGGCTGGTTTTTATACCAGTCTTCTTTGCTCTGGTAGTTGATGGCTAGGTAGAACGCTGGGTGTTCTTTGTTGTGTCTCTTTTCTTCATATAGCTTGAAAAGAGCCACCGCACAGCTTTCGGAACACTGACCCTCACAAGTACAGTATATCTTGGGGGTGAATGGGCGTCCCGGGCATGCACCTTTTCTCGTCTTAGTAGCTCGCTCCTGAAACTCGATGAAGGTCCCTTCAGACGATTCACCGAGCTTCACATCGCCCCATTGCATGTCACGGTGTTCTTGAACACCACGAAGACCGAAGCCAGTGGTAAACTTCCACCAGAGTGCCCGCAAGAGACACTTAGGCGAGTGTTTCCCCATTGCTCCACTAGTCCAAAGTTTCTTCTCATCATCTTCGCTGAGGGGCATTGCACGATTCGGCCGATTTCCCTTTCCTGCTCCCTTCGCAATGGTCACCTTTGCCGACAGACAAGCCCGAAACTTATCATATTCTTTCCCACTCAGATCTGGTTGCGGGTGCTTCACGGCCTTCAGATGTCTCTCCAGCGAATACCGAACGCCGTTGTAAGTAGAAATTTCAAATGGATCGCCATTGTCCTTGTTAAGTTCCATGATAAATTCGCATAGAATTATGTTCAGCTCCCTTGCCGGAATAGTCTCTATCGGTCTAGTCTCATTCTTTCTTTGTAGAAAAGCGTCTAACTTCCGGATATCTGACTTGGTTTTCTTAGTCGTTGCCGCCGGCACCTGATTTTGAATAAACTTGTCAATTCTTTCTTCCACATTTTCATCTGGTTCATCATCATAGTCCAGGAACCCTTGAAACATGTCAAAATTAGGTAACTCCCTTTCATGGTTCATATCGACCCAGAAAGTAGTTAGACCAAGAAGAAGTAGAAATTAATTAGTACAATAAAGTAATCAGACCCCTACTATCAAAAAGTAACGAGAAAGTAATCCAAGGAAGTAATCATGGAAGCTGATAAATATTTTGCAGATGGCTTTGTGAGCTTGTATATTTATTGAAGAACGCGCAACCGCCACGGGATAAAACAATTAAACCACTCGCAGGAAAAAAAATCATTTAAACGTCTCGCCTGCGGCTCGACGTTTAAATGATTTTTATTCCTGCTCGTGGTTTAATATATAATATTGTGTCTGTTTTGTATGTCTGAAGATGTTAATGGTGATATTAACGAAACGTTACCCGACAATATAGGCACAATTTTACATGAATTTGAAGCAGATGGCAAGAAGATCGTACGAAGTTTAGAGAACTTGGCAAAAAAGCAAACAAACGCCCGTTATGCTGTCATTTTTACACAAACATGCATCAATGAGAACCTGCTGCCCAAATTTACACACACACATATATATATATATATATATATATATATATATATATATATATATATATATATATATATATATATATATATATATATATATATATATATATATATATATATATATATATATATATATATATATATATATGTTACAGGCAAAGTGAAACTCGGGCATTTTGCAAAATGCCTAGGCAATTTGCAAAATGCCTGACTGGCTAGGCATTTTGCAAAATGCCTGACCGGCCAGGCATTTTGCAAAATGCCTAGGCAGTTTGCAAACTGCCTGGCCCACCAGGCATTTTGCAAACTGCCTGAAATTATTTTCTCAGGCAGTTTGCAAAATGCCTGACATCGAACTCACACCAGCGACGATGCGTAAGCATCATTGTAAGTGCCGCCAACAGGGGTTAATCACAAGCGATACGCACCAAGTGGGAGGACACACAGTGAGACATTCTCCGGGTAGCGCTGCCGAGTTCAATGTCACTGAGCCCCAGGCAGCGCGTGCGGCCCGGCCGCTGCGCCGGCTACCGGGCGCCCGGCGCGGTTTTATCGGTAAACACACGCGTTAAACACGGTTATGTTTCTCAGAGCCTTGATGGCTCTGGAAATCAGGGCTGCGGAGTCGATGGATTTTAGGGTGACTCCGACTCCGACTCCGACTCCGGCTTCAAAAAACGACTCCGACTCCGACTCCAACTCCGACTCCGGACGGTTCTATTAAAATACATATCATGATATTGAAGTTCATAATGAAGATGTTTTTATCTTGCCTGAAACGATCTCTTGTGCTTTCCAAGG